CACTTCGCAAAAACAAATGCTTTACGCAAGTCTGTTAGCAGACCAAAACAGGATAATTTTAATACGACTCTATAAAATATATATTTATGTACAGACGGTGTTAGGCCGGCAAACATTTTCATAAACGAAGATTAAACATTCTTCTTCCTTTCTTTCACGGTTCAGTGAAACTACATACGCTGGAAGACAGCAGAACCGATCACAAGAAATCCATCGTTAGCCAGCTAGTTGAGGAGATAAGCCAATATGCCGCGTTCTACGAGCGAACATAAAAAAGCGATTTTCGATCTGTCCATTCTAAAAGGCACGCTCCTTCCCATGTGCTTTGCTAATTAATACGGAACCAGACGAGACCCACCCAATCCCCGCCCATGGAGAGGTGATGACCGCCAAGGACTGTTACTGATCACGTGCCAGATTAACGTGTCGTATCAAACAGAACTGACCGACCTCGGCCATTAATAATCCTTTTCTATTCTGCCACAAAGAAATAGATCGGTCAGTACTGCTCCTTTGTATCTACGAGGTCCCGCATTCAAATCCACGCTCGGAGACCTGCTATCCTGACTGAGGTTTTTCGTGGTATTCCTCAGTTCCTCCAGACGAATGCTACGATAGTACAAAGACCGCTTCCAACGTTTTCCCCTGCGAATTAGTCAACAAGTATGGCCTGGTGCCATTGCTGGGGGACACTGCATCAACGACGACAGAAGTCATTGTTAGACAATGTTACAACACGAGCCGAGGTCACTGTGGAAAAGTTGCAACAATGACAGCGGATACAAGCATTCATCTCTTTCGAGCGAGAGTGGCAAAGTCCACACTGCATCTGAGTCCTGGTTATCAATGAAGGAACTAGCTAAAGCGATCATCTTTAGAATTACAATGTACTGAATACATAAACACAAACAATTCCACCAGATGTCACTTCAACTGAAAGTTTCATAAAAATGTCTACCGATTTACTAATTTTAATGTCGGCAGCGAAACATCTCCAGGGCAGGTGGCTGCAGGAGAAAGTGGACATTCGGTAGAAAGGTTTTTTTCCCCCTATGTTCCGAGCAGGGGCATAACTTCCAACTGTTTCAAGAACATTACAACATTTAGAAACACTGCAAACGTTAACAAGAAAGAAAGCTTCTAAGTGGCTCCACCTGTGTGCCGTGTCTGAAATTTACACATTACGATACATTGCACACAAAAGACAACGGAGACAAACGCTAATTACTTTGAAATAAAATACGATTAATAATACATCATTCCTAACAAACCGATATAATATTCAAGTGCTCTGTGTATTCCTGAAACGATAATTTGTGTTACAAGAAAATTTTCACTGACAAAAAACATGTACAACTTCGTTAACGTATGTTCCTGAACAAATGTTTAACCCTTTTGAAGCTGAAGTTCGTGTAAATAACAGTTATGTATTCAGTCCGTACCGCAAAGAAAATACAACATTTCACCAATACAAAGATCAACTGTTTTTCGCTGTTTACAGCGAGAACCATACGAAACACATGAATACGAAATGAAGAATTGATGATTGTTGAAGCAAGTGACATATATAGGTACAATTAAGCTTTAAAAGGTTAAACTAGAATTACGAATCAAACCGGAAGGTTCATGAATAACGCTGCGACAAACCTTTCAGTTACATAACCTTAAACTTGAACTTCCAAACGCCATCTGGCAAAACAACTTTACTGTACATCGATGACGAAATGAACTCCAGAAATCGTGCACGCCTGAAGAAAAGTGCAATCTGGGACCTCCGAAGCTCAGGAGGAGTAGTTTGTGTTAGAGCTGCTCTAAGAAAGTGGAGGTACAACGCGCGTTTAATAAAGAACCACTACAAGAAAGGCAATTTCACGGATAAAATTACCCTACTTTCGTATTTCATGCCCTCTAGTGCTGGGTTTCTCAAACTTTTTTGTTTGGTATCCCTGACGAAGTCAAAAAAAAGTCTGGTGTACCACGCAAATCAAACTTGGAACATACACAACCGACATTAGAATTGCTGATATAAAAGAAAGTAGTCCTCAATGGTACGGTTTGGTTATATTAATTTTAAATGCGGAAAGAATGTGAGCTAATTTCAATTTGCAAGAAGGTCCATTAGTTTTTCCGCTCGCTGCATCTCGTTGTATACACGAATAAAGATTTATGGTACTCCTGG